TAAACAGCTTTATAATAAACAATATATATAGTTATAAGATGCAAATTAATGTAAGTGCTTTGATAAATTTCAGATTTCTGCTTTAAAATCATCCAAAAACTGGCCCAATTCACTTCATCCCCCATTCACCATTCACTTTGATTTTCTTTTTATTCTTATTCTTATGCTTTTTATTCTTTTTTTTAAAAGATTTTTTAATTGTTACTGTTTGCCATAAATGCTGTTTGATCCTAACATTCCATTAAGGTAACAATAGACACATCAATCAATAGAAGTCTAGGGCTATAATCTCTGAAAAGTATGTTTGCATGTTATCAGCCTATAATTGCACTCTGAGGCGTGAATGTACCATCAGACGACAATTTTCAGAATTGCCCTATTTTGTAGTTTTGCTCTTGTACATTATGTACTAGGCATAGATCCAACTTACACCTGACTGTGTCTTTAGCTTGCATGAGGGGTTATGTGACATTTGCTATTTTCCAACATGCTAATCAATAGCACAGCAATTTAGTCTGATTTTTTGGCAGGTAGTTAGAAGGATATGTCAAAACTCCACCTAATGGTCATATTTCTATGCACAATAAATAATGGGCCTATAATTTGGCATGTGTCTGCATGACGAAGAAATGACGAATACATATACACTCACCGGCCACTTTATTAGGTACACCTGTCCAACTGCTCGTTAACACTTAATTTCTAAGCAGCCAATCACATGGCGGCAACTCAGTGCATTTAGGCATGTAGACATGGTCAAGACAATCTCCTGCAGTTCAAACCGAGCATCAGTATGGGGAAGAAAGTTGATTTGAGTGACTTTGAACGTGGCATGATTGTTGGTGCCAGAAGGGCTGGTCTGAGTATTTCAGAAACTGCTAATCTACTGGGATTTTCACGCACAACCATCTCTAGGGTTTACAGAGAATGGTCCGAAAAAGAAAAAACATCCAGTGAGCGGCAGTTCTGTGGGCGGAAATGCCTTGTTGATGCCAGAGGTCAGAGGAGAATGGCCAGACTGGTTCGAGCTGATAGAAGGGCAACAGTGACTGAAATAACCACTCGTTACAACCGAGGTATGCAGCAAAGCATTTGTGAAGCCACAACACGCACAACCTTGAGGCGGATGGGCTACAACAGCAGAAGACTCCACCGGGTACCACTCATCTCCACTACAAATAGGAAAAAGAGGCTACAATTTGCAAGAGCTCACCAAAATTGAACAGTTGAAGACTGGAAAAATGTTGCCTGGTCTGATGAGTCTCGATTTCTGTTGAGACATTCAGATGTTAGAGTCAGAATTTGGCGTAAACAGAATGAGAACATGGAACCATCATGCCTTGTTACCACTGTGCAGGCTGGTGGTGGTGGTGTAATGGTGTGGGGGATGTTTTCCTGGCACACTTTAGGCCCCTTAGTGCCAATTGGGCATCGTTTAAATGCCACGGCCTACCTGAGCATTGTTTCTGACCATGTCCATCCCTTTATGGCCACCATGTACCCATCCTCTGATGGCTACTTCCACCATGTCACAAAGCTCTAATCATTTCAAATTGGTTTCTTGAACATGACAATGAGTTCACTATACTAAAATGGCCTCCACAGTCACCAGATCTCAACCCAATAGAGCATCTTTGGGATGTGGTGGAACGGGAGATTCGCATCATGGATGTGCAGCCGACAAATCTGCGGCAACTGTGTGATGCCATCATGTCAATATGGACCAAACTCCCTGAGGAATGCTTCCAGCACCTTGTTGAATCTATGCCACGAAGAATTGAGGCAGTTCTGAAGGCAAAAGGGAGTCCAACCCGTTACTAGCATGGGGTACCTAATAAAGTGGCCGGTGAGTGTATATATATATATATATATATATGCATTCATTATTATTATTACTATTATTATTGTTGTTGCTGTTTGTAGTAGTACTAGTATTTATACTTCTTTTGTGGTTGACTATGAAAATAGTTTCTGTTTCTGTTTACAGACTAATCTTGCATTCTAGAAATCATTTATCTACAGGAGACTGCATCGAATGCGTAATCAGCGAAAATCCAATATCTAAAACTTAATGGAGCTGAACGGCCCACATGCTTTGAGTCACAGCCCCACATCTGGGACCAAGTAACTTATGATAAGAAGAAAGGTGTAGGCTAATAGAAGGAGAAGGTGACTTTTCCCCTGAATATGATCTCATATGACCTTAGTTATCACATTCTCAGTCTGCCCTGGTTTAAACTATTGTTCATTCATACACACCTTATATGGTCTAGCTGATGCTGTTGAATGAACTGGAACTGATAGACTTACTGCATAGTTTTTTCTGGTTTTGAAGTCACAGGTTTGTCTTTAGGCATTTGACTAACCAGAGCTATTGATAGGATTGGTTCAATACTTTGCATGGATGTGTCAACAACAATTTGAACGGGACCGAGTGAGAAGAGACGTGCTTTTAAGCAAGTTTTGTGGACAAAGTCTGTATGTGAGAAGGAAGATGAAATGTGACTGAATCAATATATATATATATATATATATATATATATATATATATATATATATATATATATATATATAGTGTAATCGAAATTATTCAACCCCCATTCAGGATTATTGGCAAAATTTATAGGCTTTCACTTTGCAATGAACAGATCAAACAAAAATAATTAAAACAGCTCAACACAACAATGTTTCAAGTGGTTCCCCCAAATTCAACTTAAAATGCAACTTTTAATGACTTCTGCAGCCTCAAACTGATTGAACCCCTTCATGGCAAGCATCTTAAGTACTCCCTTTTGCTGTTATGACCTGGTGTAAATGAGACGCCAGCTTCTGGCAGCGTTTTTGAGCAATCTTAGCCCATTCCTCATGAGCAATGGCCTCCAGTTCAGTAATATTCTTGGTTTTGCGTGCTGCAACTGCCGCCTTCAATTCCACCAGAGATTTTCTATGGGGTTTAAGTCAGGTGACTGTGATGGCCACTGTAGACCCTTCTAGGACTGCTTCTGCAACCAAGCCTTGGTGGAATTTGTGGTATACCTGGGATCATTGTCCTGTTGGAAGGTCCAATGACGCCCAAGCTTCACTGTTCCTTTAACTTTGAACTTGCGAACTATGCTTCCAATGGTGTCTCTAGGGACATTTAGTGTCTTCACTATCGTTTTGTATCCTGTTCCTTGTTTGTGAAGGGCGATGATATCTTCTTTGAACTTTTTGGACCATTCTTTTGACTTAGCCATATTTATATCATGCAGTCAAACGTGACACTCAACAAACCCCTAGCCAGTTCAAATATTTCATGTGTTCTAGCTCAAACACACCTGGTGCAACTAATGAAGCCCTTGATTAGTTGCATCAGGTGTGCTTGAGACAACACATGTTTTGCAGATTTGTGCTGTTGTGAGGGTTTCTATTCAGGGGGTTGAAAAATGTTGAGACTGCAGAAGTCTTTAGAAGTTTAATTTTTGGTTAAATTCGGGGAAACCACTTGAAATATTTATTGGTTTAAGCTATTTCAATGACTTTTGTTTGATTTGTTCATTGCAAACAACTGAAAGTCTGTACACACACACACACACACACACACACACACACACACACACACACACACACACACACACACACACACACACACACACACACACACACACACACACACACACACACACACACACACACACAGTTGTATTAGAAATGATTCAACCCACATTGCAAATCAAACTATTGTTTCTCAATTACTTCCTGAACTGGTACATTCAGATAATTGAGAACTTTCTACGTTCACAAATATATTTTTTACAATGTGCAATGTCTAATTAACTCCAAATGTTGATGACATGTTTTGAAATGTTTCTAATATTTCTAAATTGCAGTTAGAATGTCTTTCTTGCAATAAATTATTTGCTATCAGGATTTGAATGCTTCCATAAATTTTAAAATGAAGTGCATTTCCTTTGTGAGAGGGTAATAGATGATCTTATACTGACCTGACATGATCTGATAGCTCTGTAAATCAGGGTAATGATAGCCAGTGATTAGCAGTCTGTTCCTGTCTCCGTATCATTACAGAATTTGGCCTTTTGCCTTTCCCTTTTGTTCTGTAGTAAATGAGTTTTTTTCCAGTGAAGAGATTTGTGTCATAACTTGATCAGTTCAAAATAATAATGGGGTCTTGATATAAAGGAAATATTTCTTTAAGGATTTATTGAAATTTATGACTTGGACAGAACAAATGTTCAGTTGCCTTGTGCACAGCTTTATTCTCATTTGTAGTGGTCCTAATGTGTAATATTTATTTCTTATCACAGATCCATTGCTTTAGGTCATTGAGGGATACAACAAGTTAAACTGAGCATGGAGACCACAGGTATTTGGCTTCTCTGACCTTAAGGGCTGCATGGTGTCGTGGAGGTCAGTCAAAGTGTTTAAATACATTTTGTGCTGTGATTGTTTGTTCAGACTGCTCTGGTGAATAATGGCAATATTATGACACAAACATGACATTTGGAGAATATAAGATTTCCATTAAAAATATGAGTGGTTTTAATAAGTGTAGAGAACTTTAAACTATACTTGGGTGAAAAAAATGAAACCATATGAAACTTAGTATATAGCTCTAAAAATGACATATATTAACCACTGTAAGTTCTACTACTCTTTTGCAAAAAATTTATTTATTATTTAATTATTCATTATTATATTAAGTATTCATTATTAATTTGATTTTATATTTAATTAATTTAATTATTTTTTATTTAATTTGATAGTTTTGTTAATGCATTCAAAAAATTAAGTAAAAGTACACCACAAAAAAATCCCATCACATGTTTATTATACATCATAAATTGATTTAGGTTCAACAAAGTTCACATCAAACTCCTTTCCTTTCAAAAACTTTGGAAATTACCTTGGTTTTGCATCTGCTTGGTTTCTGCCTCTGTTGTGATTGGCTGGCTGTTCTGTTGTGAAGGCTGGGGCTGTATAAAAGAAGAGTTGTAGGAGGAGACTGCATTGAGATTGTGAGGATCTGCTTTGTGACACACTCTTTTTCTGTAGCTTTGGATTTGTATTACGCACCAGCACCATGTGTAAAGGGCTTGCAGACCTCCCCGCAACATGCTTAAAAAGGTATGAATATGCTCATTGCAAATTATAGGTGATATTCTTTATTATTTGTTCAATGTTTCAAGACTTTATATATTTTTATACTCTGTATACTCTCAAGTGGACTAATAGGAACTTATGTTGTTTTGATATTTCAATAGTTGTTTTAAGTAATGGAAAAAGGAAAAGTGTTTTATTATGCTGGTAAATTAGAAGCAGTCATTTGAGAGATATTTAAGAGAAAAGAAGCTACTTTTAAGTTACTTTTGCTTTCCATAATTTTGTTTTTCACAGTAGAGTCTTTAAAGCCAAAAGATTAATTTAATTACATATTTTCTTCAACAGCGCCAAAGACATAAAGCATAAGATTGGCTTTCTGCTTCAAAAGCCAGATCCACCTCAAGAGCAGAAGGCTTTGAAGGAGAAAGAGAAGGAGAAGGCGAAGGTCACAGTGGTGAACAGGTAAGGCTGGAGCAACATGACTATTATATTATATTATATTATATTATATTATATTATATTATATTATATTATATTATATTATATTGAACATTTTGGTTATTAATTCTTCATCTGATTGTAGAATCCCTCCTGCTGAAACTGAGAAATGGAAAACTTCATTTAACAACCTGATCAAAAATGATGGTAAGTTTCCAGATTATTTGGTAATGTAATAATAATAATAAAAAAAATCCACTCCTGATTAAATCTTAGAAACCAGCATGTGTTAACGATGAACAGGCTGTGGCTTACAAATGGCTTAATGAGAAAGCCTGAGACTTCTGCACTGCCCCTTGTTTATTCGGCCTTGTATTTGCTGTCAAGGAGCCCTTGGCCTCATTAATGTCTCTGTTAAAGGAGACTATGTTTATAATCGCTCTGACAGGCCATGACCATATTTTTCTCACGCTCTAGAGCGCGCGTGCTACGTGTCCGCAGACTTCACTGGTGGCCCCTGAAGAGCTGGAGTGTTCTGCTCTGGTGGGCTTCAGGGGTCATCAACCACTAGGGCAGTCCTCAGAGAATCCCCCTCAGACTCAAAGCCTTGACCTCTTCATTCCAAAAACCTCAGCAGCATCCGCTCCCTCTAAATAATGAGATTAGATGCAGATTTGAATGTCTTCAGAATTCTATTCTGTTCTATTCTATTCTATTCTATTCTATTCTATTCTATTCTATTCTATTCTATTCTATTCTATCATTTTCTATTATTATTTAATATTTTGTATTCAGTATATTGAGTCTCACTTAAATTCTTTCCTTTCAGATGGTCGGAGGGCTTTCGCTTCCTTTTTACGGTCTGAGTACAGTCAAGAGAACATTGAATTTTGGGTGGCCTGTGAGGATTTCAAGCAGACATCAGTGGACAAGATGAATCTGAAAGCTAAAATGATATTTGAGCGATACGTTGATGCCGATTCCCCCAGTGAGGTGAGAGCACTGCTTGACTGCACAAGGTCTATCCGCTTATCGCATATAAAATGTCCTCATGAATCTCCATTCATCTTCTTTTTTTTTTTAGGTGAATTTGGATTCGGCCACCAGAGAGCAGGCTAGGAAGAATCTGGAAAGGTGTGACGCATCGTGTTTTGAGGAGGCTCAGAGTAAGATCTTCACCCTCATGGAAAAGGACTCGTACAGGCGCTTCCTGAAATCCAAACTGTTCATGGAACTGTCTCAACCACTGACGCACAACAAACCCTGCAGTTTAGAGAAGAAAGGAAAGCAACACATTTCTGACCACAGTCAGTGCCTGCCTAGTTATGCCTAATCTGACCCTAGATGAACAAAGTGTATAACGAACTTTGCCATAATGTGATTTCCATTCACTTTGGCTTTGTAACGCTTGTTCATGTTTATGAATAAAAAAGGTTGTAAGCCAGAGCTAATAGACATCATTAGATGGTTCAGCCATTGTGATCGTAACACATTTGCCTTTTAGTCAAGACCCTTGGGGCAGAACTTGTTACGCAAAAGCTATTTCCCACTTTTAGCTTTGCAGCGATGTTGTGACTTCTTGAGAGTACACGGTAATCTCACGGTAAACGGATTTTATGCAGGCAGTGCTTTTACTGACAACAAAAATAACCCACATGTATTCAACCTTAAAATTCCCTGAATTGGCTTTGGGAAAACAATACATGTGTTGTAGTTTACAACTAAGTGACTGTTACAGATGGAAAAGTCTTGTGCTTAGGATTTTATTTGAGCTACGATGATAATAGCATCATCAACATCAATAACAATAACCAATTGTATTCTCTTTAACCTTGTAATGTCATGTAATACGAGTATGTATATATGTGAGTGTATAAGCTCTCTTAACTTGGGTGATGTAATTTCTTTCTCCTTAAAATGTGACCTTTCCAGCATTTTTTTTCTTTCTATTGGGCATCCATCATAATCCACAAAATGACAAATGAATGTGATAAATGTGCATGTGCAATGTATTTCCTGTCATTGCCAATGATTCATGACGCATTCGGTTGTGAAACTGTGTCTCGGCTGTAAGGCAGACTTTACATATCATATCACAAATGCTCCGGTTAGAATAAATGGTCACATGTGAGATGTTTACATATTTGTTTACTGGTTCCATATTTATTTTTTTCATATTTATGAATAAAATAATATCATAAAATTCAAATGGTCTCCGAAATACTTAAAGATCAAACAGACAACTGCTGCATTTTACATTTCGGAACAAATTGCATTTGAATATTTAGTCTTGAGATTTTAAACAACAATTTGGAGTATATAATGACGTTTTTTGAGAGAGCAATATTCAAAAAAATTTTTTTATTTAAATATTGTTTCTTAAAAATAGTTTCTTAAAAAAATGCTAGTCACTCTATAGAATGTTTTTAGTATTTACTTTTTAAGTAGGCCTATTTAGTATTTAATTTGGTTGCCATCTATATCTCATTACTGAAAAGTTTCTCATTACTGAAACATTTCCTCCACCAAATATATTAAAAGTGTCATGTCAATAACCATTATCTCTCAAAACACATGATAATAACCCTGCATGTAACTTGAGTGTGACGTAATGGAGGATTGCAGTACGTTTGTGGATGTGGATGTTTAGGACATTGAGTGAAAGTGTACAGGAAGTTCAGATATCTCAAAAACTAAGTTCTCTCATGGGCATTTATCAGATATTCCTAAAAGACTTGAAACTGTCTATTTCACTAAGATTACTGATTAACTAGTTTTATCGACACGTTCAAAAAGTATTATATTCATAGATATGCCAGAAACAATTTTTTCAATATTTCTCCTTCCTAAAGTACACTGATAAAGAATGATTCAAAGACAGAGGTACAACTTTTCAATTCAATTCACATTTATTTGTAAAGCCAGTGCTTTTCTCAATCGTTTCAAAGCAGCTTTACAGAAAACTCTTAAAGAAAAGGTTACCATGACAAAGTCAACGTAACCTCACATGCAAACTATGAGCGTTATTATGAGCGTTGTTAAGATGTTGATGAAAAGTTGTGAGAGAACAAACAATGATCTTTTCTTTAATCCATTCACTCTGTCTCATCTCTTGTTGTTTTTAAAACAATGCAGAGAGAGATTTTTTTTTTTTTGTAAAGTGCTCAAAGAGGCTGAGCTGGAGTGGGTTCTTTTCGAGACGACTGCAGGATGGGAACATTTAGTTCTGATCTCTTTTGAAGTGCAAAGCAGAGAAAATCGAGGGATGTAAACAAACGATGTGACCTCTTCAAAGATGCGTTACATTCGAAGGAAAGCATAAACACAAATGAAGTGATGAGTGAAAATGATTAATATGAAATACTGCTGTACATCTCACACAGAGCTGTAGCCTACAAAGGAAATGTTTTTTCCAACGTTTATGATGATTGAAAACACAATTGATGTAGCAACTGCCCCCCCCCCCCCCACAAATACAAATACTTATCGAAAATAACTTCAGCAAATTATATACCATTTTCAGCTTATTTCAAAACACTCTTTATTGTAGCAATACAACCTTTGTTGCGTTTAGTAACTAAACAACGTATATCCAGCAGCAAGAATATTGAAAGCATATTTCATAAATGACTCAAATTGTTATTGTACTGTAGCAGTTAATGAGCCCAATTTGCACATGCTTCAAAACCAGTCTATTCAATCTCACTCAAGGAAAACAATTTATTTATACACAGGCATCTTCCAACTTCATCCCCATGCCAAATATACAGTGTTTCTAGTGAAACTTTTAATCAGACTGGATCCTTTCTTCTTTTTTTAACAGTGTGTAATCCATCTCCAACCTCAAACTAATTAATTGTATGTTAAAAAATGGATTCAGTCCTTAAAAAAAAAAAAAAAAAAAAAACTTAAGATGTGTTTCTCAATTTTAAAAAATAAATGTTTACATTTTTTGATTATTGTTTATTATAAAAATGAAAAAGCATTTATATTCATAATAATAACAACAATACTAATTAATGAGTACATCTTTGATCAACTCACCTCAGTCAACCCTTTTGTAATTTAATAGTGAATTACTTTTGTAATTAAATATTTAATAACATGTAATTTAATATTTTGCAGTGCATAGCAACAAATTGTTGTTTAGGAAAGTGTTGTGGTGGTGCTTGTTTCTATTTGCAGTTTAAAGAAAATAATTTCAAAAGTTCCTTTTTACCCCAAGGGGCCTTTAGCCTTTTTGCTCCCTGTTTTCTGTTCAATTAAATTCAGCAAAAAGGAGATGATCAAATCATATATCGTCACAATCGCATTTCTCAGTTATTTGAGTCCCATAATGTGCTCACACACCGTGTTAAAAACAAACTACGAAAACAATTGAATCACTATAGCTGTTTTACATTCCCAAAAAGAAATGTGTGACTTCTTTGCACCCCTCACCTACACTGACACGACATGTTTTGCCTTTGCCTGCAGTTCCAGAGGAGCAAACGAGCGTCTGGTTGAGCAGAGGACAGGCTGTTTTTCTCCTTTTCTCTGTTCTCTGTTCTCTTTGGTGGCAGGATCTTGCTGCAGGACAGAGTCTGCTCATTATGGCTCAGCACAGGGCTTGATGTAATTACACTCTTCTCTGGCGCTTCAGGTGCTGCAGTGCCTGTTTGATCTGTGTTATTGGAGTGGGCAGCTTTTGAAATGGCAGAAAGATACACATGGAACAGCATTGGACTTGCTCGGACCAAAAAAAGAATAGACCATATTATAATCTGCATCTGAAAATCTGTTTAACAAGGAACAGTACGGGCTGAATGAATTCGCGGGCTTTGAATTATTTAGAGTTGCATTTCAGTGCAAAAACTCCCCCTGTCCAGTTTAACAAGGTGCTATTTGTGCTGGTTCTGGGCTTTCTAAGAATATAATGGTTCTCAATCCCAAAATACACCATAATAAGAAGCGTTGACATCTACACGGGGAATAAGGGGCCGATTTCGGACACAAACATTGTCATTTTGTGATGCACAACTACTTCATAGAAACTTCTGGTGCATAAAACCATATCAGATTATAGGTATTTTAACACATAATACGATCCCATTAGCTAACTTTAGTTAATGCATTAACTTATGACGAGCAGTCGAGCACTACATTTGTTACAGAATTTATTGATATTTGTTTATGTTAGTTAATACAAATGCAACTGTTCATTGTTAGTTCATGTCAGCTGCAGGTCCATTAAAAACTACTACTAACATTTAAATGAATCATTTGATACAATGCAATTGTGTACATACATATACATTTTACTTATATTTAAAAAAAAAACCTGTATATAATTACAGCTGCGACTTACTCCTCAACCCACCATTAAGCCTAACCATACGACAAAACCAGTCCATATAAGTGTTTTGCAGAAACATCAACACAATAAGTACACTGTACCTAATATTATTTTTATAGTGTCCTTTTTACAATCTTATATATAGTTACTATAGTAATTACTATAAATTATGTATAATTGCATGCAGCTAACCCTAACCAACCCCTAATCCTAAACCTAACTCTTTAGTTAATTATTATTAATAATAATTATTAATCAATACTTAAATTACACTAAAACACAGACACCGTAAAATAAAGTGTAACCAGATTATTTTTTATAATAAAATTATAATTATAATAAAAAGTGACCATATTTATTCATAGTTCATGTTTACTATGTAGTTAACTAATGTTAACAAATGGAACCTTTATTGTAAAGTCTTACCACATTGTGCAAATTATATTTAGGTATATTTAGGTGTTTGCTAAAAGAAACGGAAAAAACAACAACAACTGTTTTACAAGCCAAACTTACCAGTTCAATATTTAAATTTCCTAGAATTTATATCCTCCTATGTAAATCTTGGTAGCCATCAAAAACACTGCACATTCACAGCTGCTGTCTCTTTAATGAGAGCGGTCTGGTTTTACTACGCAAATGACTATATGCAGTGAGTATTTACAGAGCATTATCTTGCCTTCCATCTGAGCCCTGCACAGTCATTATCTGGTTCCTGGTTTTGTTTTTGTGTATACTAGCCACATTTGTTTCCATTTGTGTGCATGCACAAATAGCTGGCACAACATCATTGTGCCAAAAGGGCACGATTAGCATCCTGGCCCACGTCTGGTTTGCTATCTTTGTGGGGGCTCTCCATAGACGCAATGGTTTTTATATTGTACAAACTGTATATTCTATCCCCTCACACTAACCCTACCCCTAAACCTACCCATCACAGAAAACTTTCTGCATTTTTACATGTTTTAAAAAAACTCATTCTGTATGATTTATAAGCTTGTTTTCTCATGGGGACCTCAATTTAGGTACCCATGAGTCTGTGTGCATTCAGGTTGAAGTCCCAATGGGATAGAAAAACAAGCACACTCACACACACACGCACACACACACACGCACGCACGCACATTTATACCTTGTTATAGCTTCAGCTCGAGCTGTCTTTAAATTGGCATTAACTCCTGGATAAGATTTAATATTGTTTGGCCTTGATATGGATTGAAAAATGCCTGTTGTAGTTTCAACACTGAGGTAACGCCACCACGACTGTGTGAGCACTGCCATAAAAAGAAATTTGGCATGTGAACTGACAGGCTATTATTTGTTAATGGAACAGATAGTGGCCATAACAAGCATTTGGACATATAATGCATGAATTTCTTTGCATTATATAACAAAATATCAGATGGAAGTCAGGGCTGATCTTCAAAAGTTTGGAGTCAAGTTCTTTATTTATTTATTTTTTTAAGACAAATAAATTATACTTTTATTCAGCAAGGATGCTAAAGTGACAGTAAAGACTGTCCAAGACTCCAAGAATCCTGAAAAAAAAAAAGAATCACGGTTTCCTCAAAAATATTAAGCAGCAACACCTTTTCAACATTGACAATAATAAGATGTTTCTTGAGCACCAACTCAGCATATTGGAAGGATTTCTGAAGGATCACGTGACACTGATGAGAGTGATGACTGTTGAAAACTCAGCTTTGTCATCGCAAACAATAAAACAGTTTTGCTATTATGTTTAACACATGTGAACTACGAGGAAGGAGCAACCTCAGCAGCAGGAGGGATGTAGAGGTCAGTAAGCTGGGCTGAGTTGAGTGGGGGACGGAGGGGGGTGACTCTGGGACCCCAGAGTCACTGTCGAGCCCTCTTGAGGTGTCGTGGGCTAGTCGACGAAACACTGAGGATGGAAGGTGCCCACTTGAGACCCTAGAGATGTCCCCTACTTGGCTCAATCCAGACGGTTGTCGTGTTGGTCCACTAGGGAGACCACACTGTATGTTGCAGCCGTCGTGTGTGCTGACGCGCCAAGTACACTGCAGCCGTTAACGCCGGACAGAAGGGGAGTCACACCACCATATGGAAAGAAGCGTAAATGGGTGAAGCATAGTTTACTGTAAAGCTACGTCTTAGTGTTGCTTATCTTGGCGAAAGCCGATTACAAATCAGCATGAAGTTTTAACATCTACTCTCGTGTAATGGAAATCATAACCAGTGTTTTTAGTGGATAAATATATTTTAAAATGTATTAAAATATATTTATCCACTAAGAAATGTAAGTTTATGTCACGTTTTGGTTTGTTCATGTCATGTTCCATGTCTGTCATTTCCTGTTTGTCATGTGATCCTGCCATGTGTCTTGTCATTGGTTTATTGTCTGATCATTGTTCATAGGTGTCCCTTGTCTTGTCTTTAGTCTGTGTATTTAAGCCCTCATGTTTGCCATGTGTCTTTGTCAAGTATTGTTTCTTGTAGATCTCTGGTTGTAGGTTTATGTTCCTGTCTTTCATATTCTGAGTTTCCATGCCACGCCACGTTTTTGTTTCATGTTTGGTTTTTGTTTGTAATAAACTGCACCTGGGTACTTCTCTACAACTTGCATTCAGTGGATCCATTACAGTTTAGCTCTAGGAAGAGCTCTTGCATCATTTGTTTGCATATTGCAGTTTCAGATTGGTGTGACATTTACTAATACAAATACATTTTGACATTTATTGAGTGTGACTAACTTTTAAGGATCCTAGAGTTTCTGAATACGATTTAGGGCCACTGTATGTGGTTTTGTACTTAATATAATATGCTTATATGCCTTTTTTAGTCCCTTTAACCCTTTTCAATTGGGCCTAACTTAAGTAATTTAATTTGTAAGGAAATAATATATGGATGTGTGCTGTTTAAATGAAAGGAGTTCTTGTATGTCTTTGAAAAGAGCAGTACAAACAAAAACAATTTAATAAGAACTGTTTTGGTGATCCTGACATCCAAAGCTAAATGGAAATGCTCTTTTCTTTGGCATTGCTTGTGATACAAGTCAGTAATGGTTGAAGGAATGTCTTTTCACTTCCGCCAATCCTCAAGGGGTTTGACCCCCAGTCACGAGTCATACGTCTATTTCTAGGAACGAGAGTGGTAATGAATGTGAACATGTTTGTGTCTGACACTGTTTACTTTGGCAACCTCCCATCGCCCATCTGCTTCATCTCAATTTTCCACCTCTCCCTCTCTCTCTCTTCTTATATCTTTCTATTCTTCACACTGATCCACTGCATCTTATCATGGTTGTTGTGTGAATGAAACACTCTGTTCGAGAGGCTAAATGAAAAGGCTGAGAGAGCTTTCCACGCAGGAAGCCAAGCAGCCGCATTATTATTCAAATTTGGCATTTTAACAATGTTCTCCTGGGAATACAAATATTACTGAAATTCACATGATTGCCGATGGAATACCTTTAAGAAACTTTGAGCAATTCCATGATGATTCAGAACAAGAGGAGGAAAACAAAGTAAATCCAAAGCTTACCGTTTAAGTGTCTGAATTACATGGTAATGGTAAAGAAAAGGACAAATTCAGGCATCATATTTAAGTATAAATAAATAAATAAAAGAAAGGACACACTCTTATCTTGGTACTTTTTAACTTGAATATTAAACAATCAGACAATCAATCTTAGAGAAAATAAATTAAAATGAATTGTTGCTGATATGTACATCTGAAAAAATAAATAAATCTTCAGAACTTTAATGTGATTATGGATTTTATATGATCAACAAACATACATGCATATAGTTTTATGCAGATTTCATGAATAAGCAAGGTACTCGTGTAGTCCTTACTGACAATTTTGACAATCTTATTAGGGTAGAATTGTATTATTTATTAACCACAAAATTCATATTTTTTTAAATAATTATAAAAACACTTTTTACTCAAAGAGCTAAACCTGCTCTTAAAATTCTTGTCAAATTAATTTAATTTCTCTTAGTTTATGTTTAGGTGATGATAGCCATATTAAACTAAACCTGTCCTGCAGTCAACTAAAAATTAGCATTGTGGGGCATCAGTAAGGACTTCTGTAAGCACCAACCATGCTCATGTATGAATGAATGTTATTAGATTTAGTGACACAGGTACACACACACAGTATAATAAAGAAACATGCAAGAGTATAAGTGTCTGAGAGACACATTTTAAATAATAATAATAAAAAACATGCAAAAAGACACTGGATATCACACTTTTGGGTTACATATTTTTGATATGCTGTTCAGCCTGCAATAAATTGCATACTTCTCACAAATTATGACTGGCTGCACTGCACATGCTAAGAGCAAATAATAGATGTTAACTTCAATAACATTTTTTGCAGTAATCATTCTAGTGTATAGGTCTTACAATGTGTGTATATTTATGCTATCGTGATAAATGTTTGCTGTGGAAAGTCGGGGGAAAAATCGCTTGAATGTTTTGGGTTTCCATGACTTAATCTAAAACGTGTTCTGCTTTTAAAGTGGGATGGGAATAAACATTTCCTTTAGAATAAAAAATGTTGTGCCCAGTGCTTTATAGAGATTCCCTCCTACTTGATATTCCCATCTTAGCAACTTTCAATAGCGGTAACCCAAACAACAAATTCCCAGAGACTGGAGTGCATCTTAACATGTCACTCTTTTTTTCTAAGCATTGACTTATAGTGAAGCTTTCGGTACTAAGTGGGTTTTTTACTCCATGTTTTCCTGTGGTTTACCATTTGGGCATTTTAATATTAACACAGACATTTCCAAGAAAAGGCCTACGCTCTCCCGTTCCCATTTCCCAGCCTCTTCCCCTTGACGAACTTGCTGCTTAGATGCTCAGGTCAGAACGTCCTCATCATAAGTACATGAACCACTTCTGCACTTACCCGAAAAGCCATAAATTACAAGTGGGGATCGGTTTTAGTCTTTATTTAGTCTCCAAGGGTCAGAAAAGATGGTGACTCCAATTAATAGGACATATATAGAAGTTTTGAAGAGGCGCTTCAAACCTTTGGCATTTTGCGCTTGCACAAATTAAATGTCTGCTAATGACAAATCACACTTTTATGAGGAGCAATGTATACTGTCTCTTAAACCCTGATCATTAACTTTTATTGAAGTTCTTGACTTTGACATTCAGAGCACTGGGCAGCTAGGAATCACATTAATTTTACACACATTTATGTTAAGATTCTTGCTAGCAATGGGCCGCTTCAGTCAGCTGCAGGGAGACATTGCAACTGTGCCCGGTGTTTTCCACTTTCACAAAATAAACAACTGTGGTATTGTTGAATGAGCTTTAGAAATGTGCCAAAAAGTGGGTATTAAAGACTTTAAAAGTGTTTTCTAAGACCGTGAAGGGACCAAAAAAAGAGTCTCCCTGCAGCTGGGCAAGTCAGTTTACTTGAGGAGTTCCTGATACTGCTCAGACCGCAGAAAGCGACCGAAGGAGTCTTTCTCCATCAAGGTGTAGATCCGGCTCTGAGCCAGCTCGAAGGTGGCTGGAGAAAGATCCACCAGGTTCCTCAAAGTCACATCTTTGGTGAAGTGGTCGATGTTCACCTAAAAGCACGATGTTGATAATAAGGAAAAAGTATATAAAAGTCAGTCACAAGATTCTACAAATTGGACAAACATAATGAGTAAGAAACACATACGTCAACATTGGCAGTGACTGAGAACTCCAGGAGAGCTGTGGAGCAGTCAACCTCCCAGAATAGCTAGTGCAAGAAGAACAAAAATGCCAATTGGACTGATTCCCTGTGGTTTCCACACTCTATTTCCCCCTGACCATTATACCGATTTTATTAGTTTCCTTGCATAATCTGGTATAGAAAAATGGCTAAAAAGTCTTTGACTTGTGTTATTTAAAAACTCTTTCCATTTGTTTTGACTATGCCCTACTCATAGTTTTATTTTTATATGCAATTGGATAGTTTTGTATTATTATAAAATGCAATAGCAAAGTGTTGGAAATTGTAACAAAAATATTGATGAGGAAACAATGACAGAATTAGCTAAAGTTATGTAAAAATGGCAATAAGACTGTTTGCAATTCACTGCTTTTAAAACGGTAACTAAGAAACAAATGGCCATTGTAACATTTATCAACGTTTGTATTTGTATGTTATCTAATGGCTATTACATAACAGATACTTTAAACCTAAGCACACGGCTGTGTAAACTTCCTGATACCAACTTTTTTCAATAACATTGTTTGCTAAATGATTTTTCAACCTTTAGACTAAATAGACTTATAGTACATATACTTACTACAAGGATAGCATGGGTTTAAATATGACACAGGGTTAAAACCTACAACCTTTTGACTATTTGAAAAATGTAATGACCTCCATGCATAAGGCATGTTTTACTTGCTGGGACCAGCATGGGATGCTGGTTTGCTGATCCCCAGCATGGGAAGCAGAAGTACTGGTGAACCATCAACACCAACTCAGTTTTGCATGAAAACAGCACGACCATGCTAGTCCACCAAATAGACTAGCTCTATTCTAGCTCTAGCCTAGACCAACATGGAATTCATGCTTGTTTATGTTGGATTTTTCAACAGGGCTGGCTATAACTCTAGTAGAAATCCCCATTTTCATTAGCTTACATCCAGCTTGAGATGCTGAAATAGGCCTATCAAATATAAGCAACCAACAATCATGAAGTTAAAACAAGGAGCTGCACTTACAAAATGGTAATATTAGAAGGAAAAAGAATGATCAATCTGTATGTATTTAAAATATAGTAGTAGTAGTAGTAATAGATTTTATTTTCCCCGTGGGGCAATTGGATTTGCGGCACAGTCGCAAGGCACTTAATGACATGACATCAGACATAGACATAGACATTGACATATGACACCAACAATAAAATACAAAACAATACACTATACTCCCTTGGGTCTGACCAGACCAGCCGGACATCTAGCTTATTTTGGGTGATTTAAAGCTTTTATGGCTTGTGGTACAAAAGAAAATTTCGATCTATTCTTAGTCAAAAGTGGTAGACTGAAACGACACCTAGATGGCAGTAATTTAAAATGAGATGCTAACGGGTGTGTGTGATCACATACAATGCAATTAGCCTTTTTCACCACCCTGTCTTTGTAAATGTGTTCAATGCTCGGTAGAGTTATCCCAAGTAACTTGCTGGCAGAAGTAACTGTTTTTCTGATTATCTTTTTCTGGGATTCGGTGGCATTTCCGAACCAACAGATAATGCAGCAAGTTAAAACACTTTCAATAAAAGCGGTATAAAACATTTGAAGCATTTTGTTATTAACATTAAAAACAAGCAGTTTCTTTAAAAAATACATTCTTTGCTGTGTCTTAGTGTGCAAAAAATCAGTCCATGAGTCCCATTTAAGCTTGTTGTCCAGTACAATGCCAAGGTATTTATAGTTTGAAACAACCTGAATAATCTCCCCATTGATAAAGGTGTCAGTGGATTGCTGTGACTTTCTAAAATCTATGGACATTTCTTTGGTCTTATTAATATTTAAAATTAAATGTAGATTATTACACCATTCTAAAAAGGAGTCTAAAACTGGCCCATGATCCACCTCCCCGTCCTTTAACAGACTCACTAAAGCTGTGTCATCTGCATATCAGTCGGCTCGTTCCGTGACCATTTTAAATAGGCTACATAAAGATTGATAATTCCTTTCCTAAATCTAAGCCCAAACCTTTCCATAACCCTACAGATTAAACCTACCCAAGTTAAATGTTTAAAATCGAACCACAGAAAACACAGCAGCATTTATAAAGCTTGCATTTGGAAAATGCTTTGTAAAAAGAAATAACAATGAAATAGCTGTTTGGATCTCACACAACGACGCACCTTACCGCTCTTCCCATACAATGTAAATGAATAGGAAACCTTGGCTGTAAATGTTCAAATCATTTTCATTATACATTATTAAATTGTCAACAAGGGTTGGCAGGTTTGCGTAACAAAACCAGCAATTGCTATTCAAAACCAGCCCAATCACGGCCAAAACTAGCCCAAATTTGGGATATTCCCACTGATTAATCGATTAATCAAAGAAACAATCGACAGATTATTCGATTATCAAAATAATCGTTAGTTGCAGCCCTAGGTAATATTGAGTTCTAATAACCTTTCTCAGTGTCATGAAGGTAAATTTATTTTAATCAAAGGTCATTTCCCTTAAAAAAAGCTTGCAGATACTTAAATACTTTACAGTTTTTTTTCTCCGTGGGGACGCTCAGTGGAGAGAACATGGGCCTCAGCGTTTATACAGTGATCTAAACCACTGATATGAAACATATTTTCACAGGAGATGATTAAAGGGTCTGATGGAGAACTGCTTCCTTCTGTACCTTTGAAGCACGGTGCTTTTTATCTTAACTGTGATTAGCACATTAACAATCAGTGACGAAACAAACAAACCTCTTTGGGCCCACCGGTCTGAATGAAGTCCTCATAAATCTTCTTGGCTTTAGTGGACATTTTAAGGGGGGACTTGATCTTCTTGAAGCCCTCACAAGCCTCCCAGAACTCAATATTCTCCTCGCTGAACTCAGATCTAAGAAAGCTCTTGAAGGTGGCCAGGCCGTCTATGGAATAAAAAATGTGGAAAAGCTATTAGAGTGAGCTCTGTGTGTTCTTTTTGTACTAATGTGTTGGTGACACGCTGCCACCGGAGACCCCTGTCCCAACAGCTTTTAACATCCTTATCCAAACATTACCGCTTTGCACGCCTAAGGCACACAGCCCTTAATGCAATTTCTCTCCAGTTCGTGTTGTATAACAGCAGGAGGCATTCAAGTGCCACCTGATTCAGCTCGGAAGATTAATCCATGTAATTATTCACTATTCAATGCATATTTATTTTTAGACTTGCTATTGCTTGAGAATGTTTTAGCTCCAACAAAAAGATATGCTCTTATATTTGAATAGAAGCATATTCCAATATGGCACAATTAGGCTAATCTGCAAACAATTCTCTCTTAAATGAAATAAACTTTTTTTCCAAGGCAAATTGTTGCAATTAAACATAACAAACTGGCTTTGAAACATATCATTGAATGAATAACAAAGATTTGTTTTCCCAGCTATTTGGAATGGAATAATGACATAATTCAGTCCTTCTGTGCAGACAAATTATCTTTTGCCAACTGGTTTCTTTAGGGTTGCTTGTGTTTTTGTAAAGAACAATAAAAAGTTGTTAGAAAAAGAGAAAAGTTCACTATAAAAAATGATATGATCTATAAGTTATGACATTATGTGTTTTTACATTGCTTTAACTCATCAAAATAAGTTAAGCAATTTTAAAGTTATACAAGATTTATTTTTTTCATTCGTTTTTTTTTAAAGTCAGTTTAATGTAATTTAAGTTGAAATGACTTAAACAACCAAGTTGATTGTACTTAAAAATGTAGTTAAAAAAGTCAACTTCAAAATGTACACATTTAAAAAACTTCAAAATTTAAGGCAGCAACCTTAGAGTGTTGTTGGTGTCAAATGTGTGTATTGAAGTTTGATTGATAATTTACTGCTGATAAGGAATACACTTTAAAGCTGCACAACAGAAGCAGAAAAAATGGTGCTTAAAAGTGTTCTGGCTTCTATTGAAGCACAAATGCTGCTTACTTGCTCAGACTACAATTCTTTTGGATATACATCTTATAGGACTTTCTTCTTGCAATCTTGCATCAGATTCATCTATGGAATTTTTGTTTGTGTGCCTTTATAGAAATGTCCCTAGAATAAAGCAAAATCTGAAGAAGAAGAAACATCTTCAACTGGAAAAAAAAAAACATTTTATAAATAAAGCAATGCAAAAAGTTGTCTTTTAAGGTAGGGATAGTGTTATGATTAGTCTAGAAATTATAATTAACTCATACAAACAAAGCCTAGAAGTCTATGGTATGTTCTCATTTAGAAAATGTGTGTTTATATATGTGTAACTCAGAGAGAATCTTCTTTTTATGGTTCTAAACTACTTTTCGGAACATTCTCATAGATGTGTAGCTTTTAAAGCTTACTGTGGCCGTTCGAGGAGAAGCTGTTTACACATACCGAATCAAGTGCTTTAGTGCAACTTTATAGATTTTGGTTCTCAACCGACAGATACAAACAAAGTTTTAAATATATTTTACAGACTCAACAGATAAACTAAACCTTCCAATGATTGGTCATGCCTGAAAGAACATTTAAGAAGTAGAAATGCAACCAAATGGCCATTAAGATAATCATCATACTTACAGCTGTTGGAGAGGACTTTCTCAAGGGACTCACGCCATTGGGACGCTTCTTCAGGTGTGGGTCTGAACAAAACAAGCACATTTCGTCACTTTGTTTTTCTCCCCTTTGTTTTTGGCCAACAAGTTGTTTTCTATACACCGTGAATTATCCTGTTATCTATTCTGCCTGAATAACAATAACAATTCAACCCTATTAACAACACTTGCAAAAGGCATTATGTAAGTAAAAGAGAACTGAAGTGGTCTGCAAGGTCTGGACACAATTTACATTATAAACAGACTCTTTGCAGCTTTCCATTACAGGATTTACTAACATTGCCTTTCCCGATTTTGTCTCTCTGTCTGACGCACTTATCGGTACTTGCTCTCTACTATTAACCCTTTTTCTCCATACTTCAAATAGAGCTGTATTGAGCTTTCAATATGTTCTGTATGCACTTAAGGGTGGAAAGTAATCTCAGGATAATTGCTTGAAAACTTCGAACAATCATCCAGAGGTTATTTTCACCTTTAAGTTTATACAGAACATTTCCAACACTCAGTTCAGCACTGTTTTGAAACTTAAAAAATTATATATACAGTATGTATGCGAATGAATGGTGACTTCAGTTTAAAGAGGCTCTTTGTATACATAGACTGTATGGTCTATATGAGTGTGTGCGGCATGTGAAGAGACACATCCAGATCTGAAGTCCTCATCAGTAAGGAAGAGAAAGAGAGAGAGCAAGAGAAAACAATTAGGAGAGGCAGAGGGAGCCAAGAGGAACTCACTTCTGAAGCTTCTCTGGTTTCTTCTCAGGCTTTTCTTGGTAGGGGATAATAAGGTCGATGGAATTCTCTGGCTTCTGAAGCAGAGTTCCCAATTTAGTCTTGATCTCCTTAGCCCTGAAGACAGCACAAACACAAACCCATACGGATGTCCATTAGCTTTTAACATACATTTATAAACAATTCTATGATGTAATGTACATTTCAAAACATGCTGAGGACATTTCCTAAATGTGCAATACCCGTCAACAGATTATATAATATCAGCGTAACTCATTTATTTTCTTCTCTCAAAGTACACAGAGAATGATAATTGGGTCCATTTAGTCTTTATTCTATTGCACGCCAGCCACAAAAACATTTTCTTCACTGCTTATTATTCCCTGACTTGTACAGCTGTAATCAGTATCAGTTTGACAGATCACACAATAAAACACCATATGTTCAAGGCGGTCAGTTCAGACCTATTTCACAGTCGCTGTAGAGTTAAGAACAGACGTAATATCCTTTTGAACGGTTTTGGGGGGAAAAAACACATATTTCTCCCAGACGACTGTGGATGCAGTGATGTCAAGCAAACTTGCTGATTTGTTGAGGTTTCTTGAATCTTTTTGCCACAGACTGATTTATTGCTCAAAATATACTGACGTCAATGCACACATTTCTCCTCTTATAGATTAGTCACTTTAGATTAGGGTCCAATTCTCACTATTAACTAACTATTAACTACAACTTTTGCCTCGAACTCCTAATCACTGCTTATTAATAGTATGGTAATTAAGTTTAGGTATTGGATTGGATTAAGGGATGTAGAATGTGGTCATGCAGAATTAGGGATTAATAAGTGCTTTATAATTACTAATAAACAGCCAATATTCTATGCATTAAGTAATATGCATGCTAATAAACAACTATTTAATAGTGAGAATTGGACCCTAAACTAAAGTGTTACCAAAATTATGATTTTGTGGCCCAATTATATAATGTAACATTATAAACCACCACATGTTGCCACCTTAAAACTGTCTTTCAGGTGTACAAATAGACTTCTCAGGAGTACTCCAGGCCTCAGGCCAAGCTTTAAGACCAAAGCCAAGAACAGTGATAATGTTTAGACAATGAATGAGCCAATAGCACAAATCAGAATATGGCTCAACAGTTACAATAAATGTCCTCATTGCTATACTTGGAATTCTGCTCCAAATCTTGTTATGAGCAGAGAACTAAACAAAGTTGAGTGTGTTCTGGTCTTTGGTAACGTTTGGGAACCTTGATGTTTTCAAGGACAAAACTAGAAAAAAGAAATAGAGTAACAACTGTTGATACTATGACATAAAGGTATCTAAGTGAAAAATGATGTATATTTTATACTTATAAACAGTATATTAAAAATTTAAAATAGGGGCTCAATAGTTTCAAGTTTCTACTTAACTTAAAAAAAGCATACAAGTTTTAACCAGAAAACAACTTTGAAAAAAAAAAAAAAATGTAAATCTTCCCATATGCAATAATCAATACGCACTACCTAAACCATTTTTAGCATTACAAGTTGTTCCAGAAAACACAGATATGGTAAAATATCTGCAAAATACGCAAGCATTGAATCCCAAAGGAGGCTGGCAATTTAAAAGTAATTGACCTATGTATCTAAAATGGAGTGAATTTCAAATGAATCCATGATGCAAAAGATGTTTTACAAATCTTACCTTTCCAGACATGTCTGGGGCAGGGCAGCTAATCCTTTACACATTTTCTGAGCTTTTCACTTGTTTGCAGTGTTAGTCCACCACCATTAGTTGATGTCTCCTCTCTCTCTTTTAGAAGTTGTCGTTCTGCTCCCCTCTATTATATGGAGAAAGTCTGCTGGCCCAAAGCCAGCAACTCGAGAGCCAATCAAGTCTTGGCTTGCAATTACAATGGGAGCTGAGAGAGCTCTGGAGATAATCAACACAAGAAAGGACATTTTAAACTTGCCAAATCACTGAAACATCAGTACACTGTATCTATCAATGCCTAGCAACATAAATTTAGTTAATACTATAGAAATATAAAAATCTGTTTTGTAAAGTGAATTCATACAACACATTTCTTAGTTCATTTTTACTTTAAATCACTTTTATTGTGATTACGTTTGACATCTGTAGTATCAAATACATTTTATTGTTTTTTTTTTAGGTTTTAGTTTTAAAACATACAGTACTGTATAATCATCTAAGAGAGTCAAACTGTCTTATGTACTACTAACTACTAGCTGTATCTACTAACCAGAAGTATAACTCCATTTTTTGAGATGACCAAAACATACAGAAATTGTAAAGTTCAAGACCTGTTACAGACTGAATGGTAACTTCTGGAGGTAGAAATATAAAAGTGGTAAATGTACTATATTAAAAAATGACAAAGCACAATAACATAAAAGTCGACCAATTTACAGTCAACTTTTATACAAATAATCTGCAAATATATATGTGCATAAACAATATATTGGCAAACTATATTTTAAAATTATTTATCAAAATTTGCTTTCCACTAGAATTTTTTCAAGTTTTGTTCCTTAAATGCAATATTTGCATTAATCTTACAAATAGGCCTACATCTAATAAATCAATAGAAAGAATAGAAAGGCATATTCTTTTTGTGTCCTCAAACATTCCTTAATTCCAAGTATAAAGTACAAAAATGTTGGTGTTCTTTCTGAGGAATGATAATGGAAAATTTAGACATAGTATTGTCTTGTCTGGAGATAAATCATCTGCTTCAAACATGATTTAAGTCAGTGTTTAACCAAATTACATAATTGTGTTTGACCAGAAGGCCATTTGAATAGCCAACCCGATCTCACCGTCAACTTAAAAATGATAGCAATTTTTCATGCTACAATAAATGGGCCATTAATAGAATATGCTATATGTCCTGCATATGGTGTAACATCCCCACACAATCTATTTTTACAAAATATAAACAAAGTGTGAGAATAGGAGCATCACGCTACAGCAATGTTTAAAATGATTGTCTTTGCCTCCAGATATATTTAGTGTGAAATAAATGTCGTTATTCAAGTATGTTATGCTGAATAATGCAAACGTGGCCGGTGGCAATTTTCATGGATTGCACAAACATGGAGCAGTTGGTAGGCGATCGGTTTGTATGCTTAACAGGGCAGACCTTGTGATCATCTTATATCATTACAGGCATTGTCAATACCCAGCAAACACATTTTCGTTGTGGCAACGTCTGTGGCACGTTGCATTTCTGCTATGGCACGTCGCTGTCTACGTGCTAGCAACATTGTAACAACGTAGAATTGTAAGACGCGACAGGGCTGTAGCAACATTGTTGCGTGACATTCAGCAACTGAGAGACAACGTTCTGACAATTTATTTTCATGCTAGATATATCCCCCATTTAGCATGTTATGTTTTGCGGTTAATTTTTAATTAGTCAGATAATACATAATTATATACATTTTAAATATTGTTTATCCTTATTATTATTTATGGGCCTAACAGTAAATTAATTATAATCAACACCTGGAAGTGTACACTTTGAAAAAAAAAAAATGACAAGGTTAGCTAATTCAACATACACTGGTTTAGCTACTGTAATTTACACAAAATCACAATCTCCATGAATTATCAGCTAACATTATTCTGTCCCTTCAGTTAGACAAAACAAATAAATGTCACATTAGACAAGGAAGTAGGTTGTGTTTGAATACATATCTTATTTAGCTGAGGTAAATTAAATGCAATTCTCTTGTATCCTTGCTCGATGAAGAATGAGAAATTGAAACACAACGAGCCCAACGGTCGACTGAAATTTAAAAGGCTGATTTTCGCGCTTCAGGGCAGTGACAAACTATATGTCGTTCAGACACCCTCGGCACAACCTTAAAGGGTTAGTTCACCCAAAACTTATGTCATTAATGACTCACCCTCATGTCGTTCCAAGCCTGTAAGACCTCCATTCATCTTCGGAACACAGTTTAAGATATTTTAGATTTAGTCCGAGAGCTTTCTGTCCCCCAATTGAAAATGTATATGGTATACTGTCCTTGTCCATAAAGGAAATAAAGACATCATCAAAGTAGTCCATGTGACATCAGTGGGTTAGTTAGAATGTTTTGAAGCATCGAAAATCCATTTTGGATAAAAAAACAAAAAAAAACTACGACTTTATTCAGCATTGTATTGTCTTCCGGTTCTGTTGTCAATCTGCGTTCAGTGACGCTGATGACGTAAGACGCTGCTGACGTGTATCTGGTGCGTCCGTGTATTCGGGTTCAAATAAATATGGCTGGGCAAAAAAATGCAAGTCTTCCTCTGTGTCGAAATCCTTAGACATGTTTGCAAAGATTGTTTTGTTTACAGCGTGCGTCTCCCTCAGACTATAAACGAAGCTCGGGCGCACCAGATACACGTCAGCAGCGTCTTACGTCATCAGCATCACTGAACGCGGATTGACAACAGAACCGGAAGAGAATACAATGCTAAATAAAGTCGTAGTTTTTGTTAATTTTGGACCAAAATGTATTTTCGATGCTTCAAAACATTCTAACTAACCCACTGATGTCACATGGACTACTTTGATGATGTCTTTATTTCCTTTCTGGACAAGGACAGTATACCGTACATACATTTTCAATGGAGGGACAGAAAACTCTAGGACTAAATCTAAAATATCTTATGCCTGGTTCATATTACACAATTTTTTTTGTCTGTTATGATAGTCACTGTGTCAGATTACGCGATTTTGACTCCTAAAATCTTGTCGTGTCGTGGACAAGAAACATGTCAGACTACACGTTGCTTCCTGACCAGTCATTGTGTGTCGTCTTTAACGACGCGCGTGATGTCATCGAGAAGGCGAAACTAGTAGCGAGTGACTTCCGGAAACGAACGTAAGCAAACAATGGATGAAGCGGTGAGTGTTGGCTGTCCTGTGTTCAGAAAAACGTAAAAAAAAGAAAGAAAACCCGGCAATGGACACGTTCCTGGATTGCTCGAAGAGGACAGTATGGGCTGTCAATCCTCCAAAGAGAACTTGAGGTAAAATATTGTTTTCTGTTTCCTTTTAATAACCTTTCCTCCATGTCATAACTTCACCTAGTAGCACAATCGTCTCTCTTTCGTTTCGCCATTTTTGAAAGTTGTGTACGGAAAAGCTTCTGTGCTCCTATTGGTCAACCTCATACATGTGATGGAACCCGTCGTGGACGACCGTTAAAAAAATTAAACATGCTAGTCTTTTTGTCGTGATGTCGTGAAGCATCGCAGACGCGACGTAGTTTGTCGCCCACTATGACACACTATACGAGATGATACGATCGAATCTTGCGTCCCGACGCCCGTTGTCGTTTACGAATCCCCACGACACCCTACGTCAAATGGATCGTGCCAAAATCGGGCTAAAATCGTGTAATCTGAACCAGGCATTAAACTGTGTTCCGAAGATGAACGGAGGTCTTACGGGCTTGGAACGACATGAGGGTGAGTCATTAATGACATCATTTTCATTTTTGGGTGAACTAACCCTTTAAGCAATGGCCCTGAACGGTGGTTCAATGTCAACATTGTGACAATGCTGTAACAACCTTCACCACACAAAGTAGAAACCTTTTGGCCATGTTGTGAAAACGTTGTTAGAAAGTTGGGTATGTTGTGCCAATGTTCTGCGTTTGCTGGGTACTTTCTGTGCACTTGTTTAGTCAAATAAGATCATCATGACAAGATATACAAAAATGCCAGTTTGGAGTGTAAGTTAAGTTGCTTTGGAGTGTGAAATAAATGCATGAAATAAACTGTATGCTTAAAGTAGCTATACATTATTGCTCTCTTTACATGGTGGTCTGATTAAGTAGGCTAAATAAATATATGCGCATGAAATTATTTTCATAATCTTACCTGAAGGGTAGCTATTATTCTCCTAAGATTAAATAGCCTATTCCATTATACAAAACAATCGGCATGTGTACAAATCAAACGATAGGAGGTGCCGTGCGTCCGAAATAGCTTATGAGTAGGTCCTACATTTGAATTTACTTCGCAACCGTTGAAAAAAGTATGTTCTGTAGCCCCGCCCCTTTTCAGCGCTGCACTCGTTGTCTTTTGTCTTCAGGTCTGTATTTTCACAGCGATCTTGCCTATTTATGAATGAACAGCTCGTTTTAAAATATTCCCGGTCTACTGACATTTGTTAAGACATCTGCTTTAAACATTACAATCCTCATGATAACTTTCGTTAACTTTACATTAAGTAAATTCACTTCAAAAGCTAATTACTCCTGGACAGCAATGCCATAGAGATATAGCTACAGAGCGACCTCAAAAATGGAATTTCAAAGACAATATTCTAAAGATGGCGGCACCCTTGTTTCTCTGGTGCATAAGGTCTTATAGAGCTTATTGATAATTGCCCGGTTAACTTTTCCACCCAGGTGAAGTCATGGGGTTATGGTTTGCTTTCTTTTAGTTCCCATATTAATAATATTTCACGTAGGGTACTGCATTTTTTTCCCTTACGTAAGTAAGTAAGTAAGTAAGTAAGTAAGTAAGTAAGTAAGTAAAATTTATTTATATAGCACTTTTCACAGATAAACATCACAAAGTGCTTCACAGTAAAATGTAATACAGGAAGAATTTAAATACATTCCCCAAAATAAAAACAACAAACACTACAAACAACCATAAAAAAAAAACCTCGACTAACCAAAAGCCTGCTTGAAAAGCAAAGTCTTCAGTTGTTTTTTAAAAGAATCAACTGAGTTCGCACAATGTAAAACAAGAGGCAAAGCATTCGACAGCCTGGGAGCGACTGCCTGGAATGAC